GGAAGAGAGAAAAGAAGAGAGGAAATGACAAATAAAAGGAAGTAGGGAAAAAAAAAGTAAGAAAAAGAAGAAGGAGACGGAAGGCAGAACAGAAAAGAAAGAGAGGAAGAAAGGAAAAGAAAGAGAGGAAGAAGAGAAAATGAGGAAAAGGAAGAGAAATGGTGATATATATAAGGCTTATACGGACCGTTTTCGGTCCGTATAATCCTTATTGGCGCGCCGCACCTAAAACTTTGAATTTTTTCGGGAAAATTTTTGGCGCATTAATAATATTCAGACCGAAATCGGTCTGAATATAAATGAATTAGCGCAGAATCAAAAAATTCAAATTTACGGTTAAAAATTGGCACATAAATTAATTACGGACCGATTTTGGTCCGTATATGTATTTAGAAAACAAGGGATAAGACTTATATTCGGACTGATTTTGGTCCGAATATATTGGGAAAAAATTTTCGGCGCATCAAAAACTTTCAATCTTTTCGGGAAATTTTTGGCGCATTAATAATATATTCAGACCGATTTTGGTCCGAATATATTGGGAAAAAATTCACAATGCACATTTTCATTCTTTTCATTTAAGGACATCACAATCTCCTCGTGTCCTCAATCCATATATACGGACCGTTCTCGGTCCGAATATGGGCAATCCGAGGGATTTTTTATCTTAAAACTAAATTAAATTAAGTATGAATATATATACGGACCAATTTTGGTCTGAATATATGCAAAGAATCCAGAAACTTCCATGTTTTGATTTTTCAGACCGATTTTGGTCCGAATATACTCGAAAAAAATCCAGAAACTTCTCCCAGTTCACATTTTTATTCTTTTCATTTAAGGACATTACCATCTTCTCGTGTCCTAAATTCATTCCTGCGAAAACCAATTGCATGTACATCAACCCTACAGTCCCTTGGAACCACAAAACCATCGATTGTCTACCTGAAATTATCTTATGATGGTACGGAGTAATATCATTGTAAAACCACGAACGTATAAGTTAAAGGTTATTAGAGATAATGTTACGTAATGCTCTTTCGGAGCCACAAGTAAATAAAATTAATTTTTTTTTATTTAGGTTAACCACTTTGGCTTGCAAACATTCGGAATGTTACGGTTTAAAACGAGAGTAGAACGAGTTAAGCATGAAATAACAAAAAAAAAATAAAAAGCTGTTGTTAAGGGCATATACGGACCGATCCCGGTCGTATATATATATACAGATCGGTATCGGTCCGAATATAAGCACTCGAGGGATTTTTTTATCCTAAAGCTAAATTAAATTAAGTATGAATATATATATACGGACTGGTTTTGGTCTGAATATATGCAAAGAATCCAGAAGCTTCCATGTTTTCATTTTTCAAACCGATTTTGGTCCGAATATACTCGAAAAAATCCAGAAACTTCTCCCAGTTCACATTTTTATTCTTTTCATTTAAGGACATTACCATCTTCTCGTGTCCTAAATCCATTCCTGTGAAAACCAATTGCATGTACATCAACCCTACAGTCCCTTGGAACCACAAAACCATTGATTGTCTATCTGAAATTATCTTACGATGGTACGGAATAATATCGTTGCAAAACCACGAACGTATAAGTTAAAGGTTATTAGAGATAATGTTACGTAATGCTCTTTCGGAGCCACAAGCAAATAAAATTAATTTTTTTTTATTTAGGTTAATCACTTCGGCTTGCAAACATTCGGAATGTTACAGTTTAAAACGAGAATAGAACGAGTTAAGCATGAAATAACAAAAAAAATAAAAAGCTGTTGTTAAGGGGATATACGGACCGATCCCGGTCCGTATATATATATACAGACCGGTATCGGTCCGAATATATGCACTCCGAAGGATTTCTTATATACTTAATAAAAATTAAGTATGAATTTATATACTTAATAAAAATTATACTTATTTAGTAAGTATAAACATATATACATAAAAAATTTTAAAGTTAACCAAATGTAACCGAGAAAAAAAAAAAAAGCTGCTGTTCACTTAATATACAGACCGATCTTGGTCCGTATAACTATATACGGACCGGGATCGGTCCGTATATATCATGTAAAAAACAAATAAAAAATAAAGAAAACAGATTTATTTTATTTAATAATTATATACTATTACCAAATAATGCAAAAATATATTTTACCCTAAAAAATAAATGCATTTATAAAAAAATAAAATATGTTTGGAATAATTACTTAAAATAATGACTTAAAATATGTAAAACTTTAAATATATTATCCACGAAAAATTTTAAAATTCACCAAATGTAACCTAGAAAAAAAAAATAAAAAGTTACTGTTCAGGGCATATTGGGACCGATCTCGGTCCGTATAACTATATATGGACCGGGATCGGTCCGTATATATCATTTAAAAAAAATAAAAAAACAGATTTATTTTATTTAACAATTACGTAATATTACCAAATAATGCAAAAATATATTTTACCTTTTAAAATAAATACATTTATAAAAAAATAAAATATGTTTGGAATAATTACTTAAAATAATGACTTAAAATATGTAAAACTTTAAATATATTATCCAT